ACGCCACTTCCAGTTTTCTGGTGGTTTATTGGAGATTGGAGTCTCACGGTCTCTCCTGCCCGGGCTGGCTTTGAACCATGATCTTCAGATCTCAGCCTCCTGAGTAGCTAGGATTACAGGCGTGAGCCACCAGTGCCTGGCTCAGGCAGGAAAATTCTTGAGACTCTCTTTTTTTTTTTTTTTGCCAGTCATGGGGCCTGAACTCTGGGCCTGGGTGCTGTTCCTCAGCTCTTCAGCTCAAGGCTAGTGCTCTACCACTTGAGCCACAGCACCACTTCTGGCTTTTTCTGCTTATGTGGTGCTGAGGAATGGAACCCAGGGCCTCATGCATGCAAGGCAAGCGCTCTACCACTGAGCCACCTTCCCAGCCCCTTGAGTCTCTTATCTGCAATTAACCACCAGGAAACCAGAATTAGTGCTGTGGCTCAAGTGGTAGAGTGTTAGCGTGTGTACTGGGGCTTGAACTTAGGACCTGGGTGCTGCCCCTTAGTTCTTTTCATTCAGGGCTGGCATTCTACCACTTGAGCCACAGTTTCTCTCATCCCTCCCAACCCGAGTTCTCTTGGAGTCATGAGGCTGTGATCTTCCTAGTGTTTCGAAATGGCTCCTCTTCCTGTCACCCTGTGCACCTGGTCAGTGCTGGAAAGAGCTCAAAGTTCGGATCTAACTTCTCAAGATGCTCAGTGAAAATTGTCCCAGAGCATAGGGCAGGGTCAGGGTCCTCTTCTGCAGAAGGGTGGCTGCTCATCCTGTCAGAGTTGTGGAGACCCAGTGTTGGGCCTAACCTGAAGCCAGCTGCTTTCCCATTCTAGTGGTTTCCATAATTCAGGAAACAGACACAGTTTCAGCTGTGGCTCTAACTTCCTCTCTGATGGTCATTTTCTTCCTTTCTTTTTTTTTTTGGTCGGTCGTGGGGCATGAACTCTGGGCGCTGTCCCTCAGCTCTTCAGCTCAAGGCCAGCGCTCTACCACTTGAGCCACAGTGCCACTTCCGGCTTTTCCTGCTTATGTGGTGCTGAGAAATCGAACCCAGGGCCTCACGCAGGCAAAGCAAGCACTCTACCACTGAGCCACCTTCCCAGCCCCTCTGATGGTCATTTTCTAAGCTATGGCTTTTAAATATATATTTTAGCCTGGCGCTGGTGGCTCACTCCTGTAATCCTAGCTACTCAGGAGGCTGAGATCTGAGGATCACAGTTCAAAGCCAGCCCAGGCAGGAAAGTCCATGAAACACTCATCTCCAATAAACCACTCAGAAAAACCTGAAGTGGCACTGTGGCTCAAGCAGTAGATCGGTAGCCTTGAGCTGAGGAGCTCAGGGACAGCGCCCAGGCCCCAGAGTTCAAGCCCCATGACTGACCAAAATAAAACAAAACAAAACTTTTTTTATTATTTACTATCATTCATAATTTATTATTATTCATTACTATTATTAAATGTTTAATGAGTTACAATTTAACAAAGCACTTTATAAATATGTTCCTTAATCAAGCATTTGTCTAGAATGAGATTTATTTTCTGACCTAACATAAATTTATACATTATACAAATTACTCGAAGTCTAAAATTTGATTTCCTCATATTAAAACATAAAAATATTTAATGGTCGAGATTAAATATTACACAAAAACTCAGAAAGGAACACTCATCGTAAATTTAATTGAATTAAAGCCATTTGTAAGTGCACTGTAGTTGTTTGCACTATTATTTTGATTTCTGTGACACTGGGCATCCTACAAGTTATGACACATTAAAAAAAAGAAAAAAGAAAAAGCTATTGCTTTCCTAAACCTTTTCCTAAATAAGGGCTCTTTCCTTCTCTCTTCCCAGCCCTCCTCACACCTTGGGTACATTCTCAGGACGGCTTTAGGTTGAATGTCACCAGGGGGCGCTGTGTGCTAAGAATTGGCTGCTGTTGGAGGAACTTCCTGAAGAGAAGTGGAAGATGCTTCACCACCTCCAACTAGGGGAGGACAGGGAGGTAAGGCTGGAGCGGAGACGCCAGGTGCAAAGCTTGCTTAGCAATGACCGACCGTTGATGACATAACCTGAGGTCTGTATCTCGTTTCATGAGGGAGTTAATGAGAAGCAGATACATGAGCCGCAAGACCTGCACTGCCCAGGTCGGGTGTCCTGGCTCATACTCAAGCAGCCATGGGTGGTTTGGAGACATCCAGCAGCCGCCTATGGTGACTTGAACTCAGGCCAGAGTGGGTAAAGCTTTCTCTGGTGGAGAAAACTCTTGTCATGGGCAGAGGGTGAGAAGACGCTTCCTACGAGGTGGGGAGAGCCCGAGGGGCCTGGGTCCCCAAACACTTCCAGCCAAGCTCTGTTTGCTCCAAGAGCTCTAGGAGTTTCCATCCAGGAACAAAGAAACCCAGTAGGAAGTCCAGATGCAGGAGCAGCTGGGGGCCTTTTTATTTTTTTAAGTCCCCATAACCAGGGACCTCTGAGATGACTCATTTCTCAGATGAAGAGAAATAGACTGAAGGCCTGGGAAGGTGGCTCAGTGGTAGAGTGCTTGCCTAGCATGCATGAGGCCCTGGGTTCCATTCCTCTGTACCACATACACAGAAAAAGTGGTGCTGTGCTCAAGTGGTAGAGTGCTAGCCTTGAGTTAAAGCAGCTCAGGAACAGTGCCCAGGCTCTGAGTTCAGACCCCAGGACTGGAGAGAGAGAGACACAGAGAGACAGAGAGACACACACTGACTGACTGAGGCCAAGGAGCATGATGGGATATCCCCAGTGAATTCATGTCTGTCTGAGACTGGGAGCTGGGAAGTTGCTCTCCCAGACTCAAGAGTTAACAGTGGTTTGCCTTTAAAGCATGAAATCTCTGATCATCACTAAACCCCAGTATACTGCCCCCCATGACATGTTTTCCAAAAAATAAATAGAAAATTACTTGGGGGGAGTGGGGTGGTAGTATATGGCTTTGGATTTTTTTTTTTACATTTGCTTTCCGTAGTTGGTGTAGATCGTAGAGACCCTGAGTCTGAAATCACAGCCACTCCTAGATTGGCTGGTGGCTCACACTTGTCATCCTACCTATGCAGGACGCTGAGATCAGAGGATCTCAGTTCAAAGCCAGTCTAGGCAGGAGAGTCCATGAAACTCATCTCCAGTTAACCACCTGGAAATGAAATTGGGGCTCAAGTGGTACAATGTCAAAAACGAAGGGACAGCAGCACCCAGGCCCTGAATTCAAGCTCCTGTATTGGCACAAAAGAATAAATCTTAAAAAAATGTTATGAAATGGGCACCAGGGGCAAGCTTATTTTGGACACATCAATCCCCATCCTCAGGACTGTCTTCCAAGAAATTTTCTAGCCTTGGATTCCACAGTGAAGGTGTTATATGTTCAGCATCTGAGTGGACTGTGCCTCAGGGCTGTCTTGTCCCCTGAGCTTTTCTCTTGGCTACTTTTGTTTTTTATTTTTTAAATATGTACCAGTCATGGGACTTGAGCTCAGGGACTAGGCACCGTCCCTTAGATGTTTTGCTCAAGGCTAGTGTTCTAACATTTTGACCCACAGCTCCATTTCCAGTTTTCAGGTGGTTCACTAGAGATAAGAGTTTCACAGGTTTTCTTGCCCTGTTTGGCTTCGATCTGCTAGCCTCAGATCTCAGCTTCCTGAGTAGCTGGGATTACAGGCGTGAGCCACTGGTGCCTGGCTGAAGGTGGGCTCTTATGAGTTTCTTCTCTAAGCCTTCATCCCCAGCCTCCTACCAGATGGCTCTCCCTAGTCTCAAATCTCTCAACAGATTTGAGAGGTTCAGAGGTAGAGGGAAGAGTCTGTGAACCCTCCGCCCTCCCTATTTTTTTTTGCCAGTCCTAAGGACTGAACTCAAGGCCTGGGCATTGTCCGTGAGCTTCTTTTGCTCAAGCAGTCTACTACTTGAGCCACAGTGCCACTTCTGGCTTTTTCTGTGTATGTGGTGGAATCAAACTGAGGAATCAAACCCAGGCCTTCATGTATGCTAGGCAAGCACAGTACCTCCAAGCCATATTCCCAGCCCTGAATCTCCCTTCTTGTGAGCCAGTGCATCTCCTCTCCAATGTAGCGAATGAGGATGACAAGCAGGCTCCTATCTTGCTACCTGCTCCCATGGTACCATGCCCCCTTCCACATTCACACCTCTTTTCTTTTCTTTTCTTTTCTTTTTTTGTATGTGTAAGTACCATTAGCTTTCTTCCATTCAAGGCTGGTGCACTACAACTCAAGCCACATGTCCACGGTCTGGCTTTTTGGTGGCCAACTGGAGATAAGAGTCTCATGGACTTTCTTGCTCTGGTTGGTTTTGAACCATGATCCTCAGATCTCAGCCTCCTGAGTAGCTAGGATTACAGGTGTGAGCTCTCCCTGACCCCCATCTTCCATGGGGTTTTCATGGTGGCTCTCAGGATCAAGTTGTTTCTCCTATTGGACCACACAACTCCTTGAAGGTATATGCTTTATTGTAAGAACTTGAGGGAGGCCACTTACCTTCCTGGGCCTCAGTTTCCTCTCCTGTCAAATGAGGAGATGGAACTGATTTTTTTTGTGTGTGTCGGTCATGGGGCTTGAACTCTGGGCCTGGGCGCTGTCCTTCAGTTCTTCATCTCAAGGCTAGCTCTTTACCATTTGAGCCACAGTGCCACTCCTACTTTTCTAGTGGTTTATTGGAGTCTCATGGACTTTCTTGCCCCTTTGGCTTTGAACCACAGTCCTCACCTCTTAGCCTCCTGAGTAGCTACGATTACTGGCGTGAGCCACTGGCGCCCTGCCCTCGAACTGATTTTTGCTGGCTGTGTATGCCCATCACACACATGGCATTGTTGTAGTGTTAAAGAGCTTTAATTATGGAATAGAAAAGAAAACCTCTTGGTGCCATAAAATACAGATCATGATTCTAAAGGCCCATCCAATAGGCTGGATTTAATAGTCAGGTTGCCACTTGCTGTGTGGCAAGTCCAGTGGTACCAAGGGTCTCCAGCTGGCTCTGGCGGGGGGCTGTCCTCAGGAGTGTGGGATGGGGCGCAGGGGAAGGGGCGGTGCCAGAGCACTTAATGGGGGTTTGGGGTAGGAGGAAGTGTAAGTGCTCTCTTTCATGCCAGTCTGGGGTGAAAGCCACCTCTTCTTCAGGCACTCACACAGTCCATAGTTTGTAGGGGGACCTGCAAGACAAATCAGTAACAAGACAAACTTGGAGTAACACAGGGCTTCAAGGAACATGGCCTAAAGAAGCTGTGATTTGCTTGGGCTCCAGGGCCTACACCTGTAATCCTACATAGGAGGCTGAGAGCTGAGGATTATGGTTCAAAGCCAGCTCAGGCAGAAAAGTCTGTGAGATTTTTATTTTTGTTGTTGTTGTTGGTTGTAGGGCTTGAACTCTGGGCCTGGGTGCTGTCCCTCAGCTCTTCAGCTCAAGGCTAGTGCTCTACCACTTGAGCCACAGCACCACTTCCAGTTTTCTGGTGATTTATTTTCTTATTGGTGATTAGAGTTTCCTGGCCTTTTCTGCCCAGGCTGGCTTTAAACTGCGATCCTCAGATCTCAGCCTCCTTAGTAGCTAGGATTACAGGCGTGAGCCATGGATGCCCAGCTTCTGTGTGATTTTTATCTCACACTAACCAACAGAAATCTGGAAGTGGAGCTGTGGCTCAAGTGGTAGCGTGCCAGCCTCGAGTATAGAAGCTCAGGAACAGTGCGTAAGACCTGAGTTCAAGCCCCAGGACTGGCACAAACCCCCACAAAACCAAAGAAACAAAGAGCAAGGAGCAAAAGCGAGGCCCTGCAGATTATCCTGGCTGGGTCTCAGGGACTGAGTCTGGCGGGGCAGGCAGAGTAGAGGTTCAACGACTAGAAGAGGTTCATGAATACGCCACCTCTACAACACACACCTGCCCCAAACTATTACATCCACTAGTCACAGTCTCTAAGAACATTTCTCGCTGAGCAGGTGCTGGCAGCTCATGTCTATAATCCTAGCGACTCAGCAGACTTAGATCTGAGTCATCTGTCTTCCCCCCGTCATGCCAACTCTTTGAGGGCACGAGTTCATACCACTCCACAGGAGTTTGTGGACCCAGTACCTCAACGAGGAACAGAAATATAGTGGAAGTATTCACTATGGGCAAGGCAGATGGTGGGAGGGAATGTGTTGCTCCGATGCTGCCCAGGTGAGGGCATCCTAGATGATCTCTAGCATCAGTGGGAGAGAGGCAGGGAGCAGCTGGTCTGAGCTGGTCTGGAGCTAGGATCTCTCGTGTGGGGCCTTGTGAATGAGAGCAGTGTATCTCAGGCCTTTGTGCTTGTGAACCCCTTCCAGGACAGCACGGAAGAAAATCCTGATCTATCATATTACCCAGAAGGGGGAAGTCGGATTTCTCCGGCAGCCACAGCAACTTCTGCCTACTCCACGTGCGGACCAAGGGCATGCCTGGGTTGTAGTCCCGCCGATTGTAGTGATCGTCGTAGGAGCTGATGAGGTAGCGGTGTGAGGGCTCCCGGTGGTGGGTGATCAGATGTTTGTACGGAAGCCCCTGCAAGCACAGGTGGTGGTGGACACATTACCCCTCTGAACAAGGCATCCACCTGGCTCCAGGTTCAGTCCGATGGACCACAGGCTTCCATGGCTGACTGGAAGTTCTGAGGAGCCACTGAATTAAAGACACATTGGTTGATCTCACTGCAACATGGCCTGCATTCACAGACAGATGCCAGGTGTCTGCAGTGAGATCCTTGTATGAGAGTCCTCTGGCCTAGGTCAAGTCCAGAATTCCCTAGAAGTAGCTCTAGTGACAAATTAAACTTAAAGTCATAGCCAGGTGCTGGTGGCTCACACCTGTAATCCCGGCTACTGAAGAGGATCATGATTCAAAGCCAGCCCAGGCGGGAAAGTCTGCGAGACTCTTATCACCAATTAACCCAGAAAACCGCAAGTGGGGCTGTGTCTCAAAGTGGTAACGCGCCAGTCTTGAGCAAAACGAGCTCAGAGTCAGTGTCCAGGCCCTGAGTTTAAGCCTCAGGACTGACAAAAAATAAAAATAAAGTAACTAAAAGTTACACCTGTAATCCTAGCTACTCAGGAGGCTGAGATCTGAGGATTGAGGTTTGAAGCTAGACTAGACAGACAAATCTCAGAAAGTCTCATTTCCATTAACCAGCAAAAACTTAGAAGTGCAAGTGTGGCTCAATAGGTAGAGAGTGCCACCCTTGAATGAAAAAGCCAAGTAAGAATGAGAGGCCCTTAGGCTGGGAATGTGGCTTAGTGGTAGAGTGCTTGCCTTGCATGCATGACGTCCTGGGTTCGATTCCTCAGTACTATATACACATGAAAAGCTAGCCTTGTGCAAAAGAAGCTCAGGGACAGTGCCCAGGCCCTGAGTTCAAGCCCCACCCAGGACTGGCAAAAAAAAAAAAGTGAGAGGCCCTAAGTTCAAGCCCCAATACTGGCACAAGAAAAAAAAGACAAGACAATTAAAGTCAGAACACAGCTGAATATAAAGTGTGCCTTGTGATCTGAAATTAAGTTCCTTGATTGGTTTCAAGTTTCATCTGCCCAAGTGCCAATTTCTAAAGCAATTGAAAGACGCTGGATACCAGCCAGACGTGGGTAGCTTGTAGTTCAACTGGTATAATGGTGGGAAGAATCCGAGAAGGCTCAATAAACTGCCTTCGCTGAAGAAGGATTTACAGCTCCCTCAGCTGGGAACGCGGGGAGCCATCTCTTTGGTGAGGAGTTATTTACGGAGAGAAGAAAAGCCATCTTCTCCTTACTCGGGGACCACTGCTTGAGACACTGCTTGTCTTAAGAAAATCCTTCTGGCCTGGAGTGGAAGCCCTGGGGGAGGAGGATGATTTACAGGGACGGATGGTGGGGATTTGCCTGTCTGCCCTCTTGTCTGGAGCAGGCCAGGAGGTCTGTCTGCTTTGGTCTGCAAACGCATTGCACCAGACTTCGATTGCTGGCTCCATAAATAAGTCAGGCCACAATGCCAGAGGGAGAAAAGTGGGGTGAGTGCAGACATGAAGCAGGGTTCCGAAGGCCTGCCTCGCTGGGGCCCCGGGGCGTGTGTGTATCCAATCTGGTTGGTGAGGCCCAGCTTCCCACATAGAGGAAGGCATGGCTGCAGGCCCTGGGGCCACTTTCTAGCTGTTTCTTTAGGTGCTAGGTGTGGCTCCGTTGTCTTGTTTGTGGCCCTGAGATTTTTGTATTGATCAGGGATGACTAGGACAGGTTTCTCAGGAGAAGGGGGCTGGGGGAGGGGAGTTGGTACCATGCATGGCCACACAGCGATGGTGAACGGGGGAGAGTATCACCAGCCCTGGTGGCTCCTGCCTGAAATCCTAGGTACTCATGATCTGAAGTTCATGGCTCCAAGCCAGATAGGTTAGAAAAGTCCATGCTCTAGCAAAGAGGCTGGAGGTGGAGCTGTGGCTCCAGCTTGGAGCAAAAATCTAAGAGAGGCCTTAAGTTCAAGTCCCAGACCCTGTATTTTTAAAAAAAGAAGGGAGGACTGTGAGCAACTTTAGTATTGGGTAGTTTGGATAATTTCAGAGTGCTCAGGGCTACGCGGGTGGTTTCGCGTTGCTCAGTGTCTGACCCTGGCGTAATTGAGGGTAGAGGAAATATATTGGACTAAGTGAGAATTAAATGGTACCATTTGCACTCTTCCTTCAAAATTGTTTCTCTCTCTCTCTCTCTCTCTCTCAATCAGTCTTTTCTGTCCTTGGGCTTGAACTCAGGACCTGTGCATGGTCCCAGAGCTTCTTTTGCTCAAGGCTAGCACTCTACCACTTGAGCCACAGCATCACTTCTGTTTTTTTCTGTTTCTGTGGTACTGAGGAATTGAACCCGGGATTTCATGCATGCTGGCAAGCAGTCTACCACTAAGCTAATTCCCAGCTCCCCCTTCTTTTTTTTTTTTTTTTTGCAAGCACTCTACCATTTGAGCTACAGTTCCACTTTTGGCTTTTCACTGGTTAATTGGAGACATGAATCTCATGAACTTTACTGCCTGGACTATCCTTTTGTTTTTTTGGTCGGTCGTGGGGCCTGAATTCTGGGCCTGGGCGCTGTCCCTCAGCTCTTCAGCTCAAGGCTAGCACTCTATCACTTGAGCCACAGTGCCACTTCTGGCTTTTTCTGCTTATGTGGTGCTGAGGAGTTGAACCCAGGGCCTCACGCATGCAAGGCAAGCGCTCTACCACTGAATCATCTTCCCAGCTGCCCAGGCTATCTTTGAACCTTGAACCTCGATCCTCAGATCTCAGCCTCCTGAGTAGCTGGGATTACAGGTGGAAGCTACAGGCTATTTACTTTCTTTAGGAATTTGCAAACTCCAATATGAGTCTGTACAAAGTCAACACATTCTAGAATAGGAAAAAACTTTTTTTTTTCCCAGTCCTGGGGCTTGAACTCAGGGTCTGGTCAGTCTCCCTGAAACTGTTTGGGCTGAAGGCTAGTGTTGTACTCCTTGTGCCACAGCATTACTTCCAGATTTATCTGAGTAGTTTATTGGAGATCAGAGGCCCACAGACTTTTCTGCACTGGCTGGCTTGGAACGGCAATCCTCAGATCTCAGTCTCCTGAGTAGCTATGATTAAAGGTGTGAGCTGCTGGCACCCAGCTAGAATAGGAAATTAAAAACCTGGTTGGTACACCTTCCCAGGAGAAAAGTTCAGGAAGAGGGTCCTCCCCGAGCAAGGACAACCCTGCTATTCACTCTGTGCCTAAGAGGGGAGAAGAGCCACATGGGGGCCAGAGAGGGAAGGAAATCAAAGATGAGCGGTGGTAATAGTTGAAGCAGCCACAAGGAGGCAGTGCCGCACCTAGGTCCCTGTGTACAAACAGAATCCTTAGGAATGAATGATTGATTGATTGTGTGTGTGTGTGTGTGTGTGTGTGTGTGTGTGTATTTGTCAGATGTGGAGCTTGAACTCAGGGCCTGAGCACTGTCCCTTAGCCCCTTTGTACTCAAGGCTAGTGCTCTACCACTCCAGACACTGCACCACTTCTGTTTTTTGAGTGGTTAATTGGAGATGAGTCTCATGGGGACTTTTCTGCCCAGGGTCGCTTCAAAACACAATCCTCAGATCTCAGCCTCCTGAGTAGCTAGGATTACAGGCATGAGCCACCGGTGTCCAACTGTGTGTGTGTGTGCGTGTGTGTGTGTGTGTGTGTGTGTGTGTGTGTGTGTGTGTGTGTGTGTGTACACGTGCACGTGAGTATCTGTACATGCGTGCTGGGGGCTGGAGGGGCTTCTTAATTTTTTTCAACCTTGGGTCATCGTTTATCATGGGTCCAGAAGTCTTTAAGAAAGGCTATATAATGCTCTATTGTATGAAAACCTGGCTAGGAACTCTTGCTCTTGGGTGTTTGGGGGCTGGGGGCCCCAGATCACTGGTTCTAAACTGTCTTCAGAGCACATTACTGGTCTCAGCTAGCAGCCCCAGAGGTCATTGTGATCTAAGGATGTCAGCAGTAGGAATGCCAGCGTGATCTGAGGGTCAGTGTGGTCCAGATTCCACCAATGCGGTCCTAGGATGCCAGTAGAGAGCTGAAAGCCAGACACAACTCCCCAGAGCAGAAGGCACCAATCATCACTGGCAGGTGATGAAATACCGTCCCCTGGGATGGCCCTTGCTCTGGGCACCGAGCCATGTGATCTCTCAGGTCCCTCTGAGCTCTAAAATGTTCTGATTCTCACATCTCCTCTACCTCACTCCCTACCTCTGTGCCTGTTTTCCAAGTTCAGGCAGGTGTAGCATCACCTGATTGAGACTCCTCTCCCTCCCCCCCCCCCCCCCCCCCCATGATGATGATGGCTGGCAAAAGATGTCACTCAGCATTTTCAACTCTGCCCCAGTGGGGAGCACCTTGGGCTTCCTCTCCCCAGGGCACACCTGACGGGAGCCACACACTGGTGCCAAGGAAGGGGCTGCTTTTCCTGCAGGGGCCAAGCCTGCATGAGCTCGCCCTTGCACACACGTCTCTTACCTCCATTTTTTTCTTCACATACCAGCTGGAGATGTTGTCGGGCCTGTAGTCTAGGAAAGGGGTGTACTCCATTCTGGAAACACTCTGGGGTGTCTGACCAGTGACTTTGCTGAACTGGAAAAGACCACACACATTCTCAGACTCCTGTCCCATCTCCAGTGAGGCCGAGGAAAAGGGGGAACAGCAAGGCGGGAGCCACAGCACAGGAAGGCTGTGGAGCAGGGGCTGAGCGACAGGTGCTGCTGAGTCTATGGATTCGCCCATCACAGGTCCCTCAGGTAAGTGAAATTGTGCAGTATTTGACCTTTTGGGGCTGGGAAGATGGCCTAGTGGTAGAGTGCTTGCCTAGCATGCATGAAGCCCTGGGTTCCATTCCTCAGTACCACATGCACAGAAAAAGCCAGAAGTGGTACTGTGGCTCAAGTGGTAGAGTGCTAGCCTTGAGCAAAAGAAGCTCAGGGACAGTGCCCAGGCCCTGAGTTCAAGCCCAGGACTGGAAAAAAAATGGTCCTTTAGTGTCTGGTTATTTCACATAATGTCTTCAAAAACATTCATCTTGTAGCATATTTCAGAATTCCCTTCCTTTGAAGGGTGGATACCAGCTGGGCACCTGTGGCTCACGCCTGTAATCCTAGCTACTAAGGAGGCTGAGATCTGAGGATCTCAGTTTAAAGCCAGCTCCCACAGGAACATCTGTGAGACTCTTTTTTTTTTGTTGTTGGTCATGGGGCTTGAACTCTGGGCCTGGGCGCTGTCCCTCAGCTCTTCAGCTCAGGGCAAGTGCTCTACCACTTGAGCTACAGCACCACTTCTGGTTTTCTAGTGGTTTATTGGAGATAGGAGTCTCATGGTCTTTCCTGCCCGGGCTGGCTTTGAACCATGATCCTCAGATCTCAGCCTCCTGAGTAACTAGGATTACAGGTGTGAGCCACCGGTGCACAGCAAAGGTTTACTTTTGTTTTTTTTTTTTTTTTTTTTTGGTCAGTCGTAGGGCCTGAACTCTGGGCCTGGGCACTGTCCCTGAGCTCTTCAGCTGAAGGCTAGCACTCTACCACTTGAGCGTCAGCCCCACTTCTGGCTTTTTCTGCTTCTGTGGTACTGAGGAATTGAATCCAGGGCCTCATGCTTGCAAGGCAAGCACTCTACCACTGAGCCACCTTCCCAGCTCCTCGTGAGACTCTTATCTCCAATAAACCAATAGAAAACCAGAAGTGGCACTGTGGCTCAAACAGTAGAGAGCTCGCCTTGAGCTGAAGAGTGCAGGGACAGCACCCAGGCCCAGAGTTCAAGCCCCTGACTGACACAAAAACAAAAAAAAAACAAAAAAACAAGGGGTGGATACTGCCCACCGTATGTGTGTATCATATTTTATCTATTCATCCATCAGTTTGCACCTCCCTGGTTGTGCCTGTCTTTGGGCTGCTGTGAGTATTGTTACTCTGAACATGGACATGGATGTGTTTGAAGTCCAACTTCTGTCAGTTCTGGAGCTTGAACTCTGGGCCTGGGTGCTGTCCCTCAGCTCTTCAGCTCAAGGCTAGCGCTCTACCACTTGCTCCACAGCGCCACTTTCAGTTTTCTGAGTGGTTTTTTTTTTTTGGTTAGAGACCAGAGTCTCATGGACTTTCCTGCCCGGGCTGGCTTTGAACCGTGATCCTCAGATCTCAGCCTCCTGAGTAGCTAGGATGACAGACGTGAGCCACTGACACCTGACTGTCCTTAAGTTTTTGTGTTCAGGGCTAATGCTGTACCTCTTTGAGCCATGGTGCTAGTACTGGTTTTCTGGTGGTTAATTGGAGATAAGAGTCTCACAGATTTTTCTGGCCATGCTGGCTTCAAACTGTGATCCTTAGATTTTACTCTCCTGAGTAGCTAGGATTCCAGGCATGAGCAACTGGCACCATGGAGATATTTCTTTTTTAGAGTATATTTTCAGCCACTGCTTTACCTCTTAGTACTACCAACACCACATTCCCTAACTATTGGTGTGTTTTACCTTGGTGTTAGAAAACATGCTTTCTTGGATTAGGAAAGCCATGTATTTACTGAAATATGGAAAGTTTTTCAGTCATTTTTTTCAAATAATCTCTTTATCTTTTTCTCTCTTCTCTTTCTGTAATTCTCTAAATGTGTATATTAATCTTTGAACCATACTCAACTTCTGGTTTTCTGGTGGTTAATTGGAGATATGAATTTCACAGACTTTCCTTCCGGGGCTGGCTTTGAACTGCTACCCTTGGATCTCAGCCTCCTGAATAGCCAGGATTATAGGTGTGAACTACTGGTGCCTGGCCTTCCAATCACTTTTTTTTTTATTGTAAAGATACTATACAGAAGGTTACAGTTACATGAGTAAGGTAATGAGTACACTTCCTACCTTTCAATCACTTTTGAAGCACAAGGTAACAGTGGGAGCTTACTTGTCCTGTATATAAGGCAGGGATAAGTCATAGGACCAGTGCTAGACACCCGCGGGACATCCTTGGACACCCGTGGCAAGCTTGCCTCAGCAGGTTGCCAAGTCTGGGAAGGTCAAGCAAGGTAGAGGAGGTGTTCTTCAAAGGTATTGGGGACAAGAAGTATCCAATGCCCAGAAATAGTCAACTGAGATACATCTGTAACGACCCTCTTTGTGGTGTTTGCAGTAGGATGGGGACCTTGGTGACGGACTCTAAGACCCCTCTGCAGAGCACAGAGGCCCAGTGGCGCAGTCTTAAGATCCAGCCATCTGCTTCCCTGGACTTGGAAATAGTAATGAACTTTGCCCCTCCCTTGACCCAACAGTCCTTCTCTGAGCCCTGTGTCTACCCTCAGTCCCTCCTCACCTGTCTCCTCTCTTCCACCCAGTTTCCAATGAGCACTTTGGATGAATAGCTCCTCTGGCTCTGAATGAAGAATGGTGGAGGGTTCACCGGGCTCAGAAACATGATGTGCCTGGCTCAGGGGAGGGAGGGATGACGCCGAGTTGCTAAGTTTGGGTTCTCTTAAAAAAAAAAAAAAAAAAAAAGTCTGGAGCTGCTCTTCTTCGGATTGCGAAGAGAATGACACTATTAGCTTCAGGAAGTTAAAAATACAAAAAGACAGCAACACAGTCCCGAGAGCACAAGTTCCCCCTCCAGGGGCAGTGACATAATCTTGGCTTCTCTTCTGTTGACCGTCTCCATGGTGACAGGCACTAGGTAGGCAGACTCTCTGCTGGGGAGCAACTGATCTGACAGAAGAAAAATAAACGAGCCTCCCCACCCCAGTAAATCAGCCAGCGGAGGCAGGAATGAACAGATCCAGTTTCTGTGTTGTCACTCACCCCAAGATGAGTGCAGCCCTTGATATACATAAACCGTTGAGGTAAGGTGAGTTGAATTTTTGTGTGTGAGTGCGTGCTGGTCCTGAGACTTGAACTCAGGGCCTGGGTGCTGTCCCTGAGCTTTTGTGCTCAAGGCTAGTGTTCTACCGCACGAGCCACAGCTCCACTTCCAACTTTTCGTGGTTAACTTGAGATGAGACTCTCATGGACTTGCCTGCTGGGCTGGCTTCAAACCGCAACCCTGAGTTGAGGGTTAAGTTGCTGGGGTTAGAGGTGTGAGCCACTGGTTCCCAGCATGGTAGACTTCTTGATGAAGAGATATTTTTTTTCTTATGGGCATATGCTGATTGACAATGCTAATTAGTAGGCAGAAATTTTATATTTAAACTTTTTTTTTTTTTTGCCAGTCCTGGGGCTTGAACTGGGCTTAGAGCACTGTTCCCTGAGCTTCTTGTGCTCAAGGCTAGTACTCTACCACTTTAAGCCACAGTGTCACTTCTGGCTTTTTCTGTGTGTGTGGTACTGAGGAATCAAACCCAAGGCTTCATGCATGTTAGGCAAGCACTCTACCATCAAGCCACATTCCCAGTCCCTTAAACTTTTATCCAAACATTACTTACTTGATTTCCAGGAAAATAGTTTCCAAGTAGGCATTAATTTTTGTCCTTCTATCTTCCTGTATCTTTCCTCCTACAATCCATTCTATAAACAATTATACTGCCCTCCTACCACTTCCCTCTTTCTTTCTCTCTTCTTTTTTCTTTCTTTTTGCTGGCCCTGGGGCTTGAACTCAGAGCCTGGGTTCTGCTGTCATTTAGATTTTTCACTTAAGGCTGATGTTTTACCACTTGAGCCTCAGCTTGGTTTCCAGCTTTTTGCTTGGTTTCCAGCTTTTTGCTGGTTAATTGGAGATGAGTCTCAGGGACTTCCTGCTTGTGCTGACTTTGAACTGTGATCTTCAGATCTCAACCTCCTGAGTAGTTAGAATCACAGGCATGACTCAACAATGTCTGGCTTCTTTTACCTTCTTTTCATTTTTCTCTTTATTTGTTCCTTCTTTCTCTCTTGCTTTTTCCTTTCCTCTCCCCTTCTCTCTCCCACCCTTACCCTCCCACATAGGTTTTGAATCTAGGGCTTCACATTTGCTAGGTGAAATTTTGCTTATGGCATAAAATGGTACTATCTTCTCTAGAAGATTATTATTATTACTATTACTACTACTACTACTACTATTATTATTTGTCCATCATGGGGCCTGAACTCTAGGCCTGGGTACTGTCCCTCAGCTCTTCATCTCAGGGCTAGCGCTCTACCACTTGAGCCATAGCACCACTTCCAGCCTTTTCTGTTTATGTGGTGCTGAGGAATCGAACCCAGGGCCTCATGTATGCAAGGCAAGTACTCTACCACTGAGCCACCTTCCCAGATTCATCTAGAATATTATTATAACTAGCTTTTCCAAAGTTCCAGTAGGAACTACTACTACTAATAATACAGAGAACTACAGGCTGGGAAGGTGGCTCAGTTGTAGAGCACTTGCCTTGCATACATGAGGCCCTGGGTTCGATTCCTCAGCACCACATAAGCAAAAAGAAAAAACCCGGAAGTGGCACTGTGCCTCAAGTGGTAGAGCGCTAGCCTTGAGCTGAAGAGCTGAGGGAGAGCGCCCAGGCCCAGAGTTCAGGCCCCACGACTGGACTCCCCCCGCCCCTGCAAAAATACAGAGAACTAATAAAAAACTAATACTATTAATACAGAGAAGCTGCATTTGGAGACTCCTTAGTTGAAAGCTGGTATCTGCATAGTGGGCCGTTGTCTCAAAGACTAGTAGCCCAGGACAGAGCTTACACAAAGTTTTTGAGGACAAAAACCACATGCTTGGTGTGGAGACAAAGGCTTAACAAAAGCAGACCTTATATGGGCATACTCAGGTACAAGCTCAGGTACCAGCAGAACTTTGCCATATGCCTCAACTTTCCATATGGGGTATATTTAGAGGCTAATCAGAGGCAGGTGATTTAAGCCATTTGAGGAGGTAATCAAGACAGAAAAGAGCATTTTTTTTAATGCAAAACTTTCATAAGGCTATGACATCTGCATTTCTCTGAAGCAGAGTTTTCTTAGCTTGAGCTAGGCATCTGCATTCAACCAATGGCCTCTCTGGCTGCTAAGTTTTCAGCACTGGGTGGAGCCCTCCCTCTACCCAGCAAGAGGCACCAGGATGTCTGTAAGAAGTTACTTAGACTCAGCCTCCTCACTTCATCACAAGTAATTAAGAGACTTTAGCTTAATTCAGGGCTTGAAATTTTTAGTCATTACTTAATCAGAACACAGCATGCTCAGACCTGTGACAGACTTTCCCAGAAAAGTCTCAAATTCTTCCTGCAGTAGAAAGGCTTTGCAGAAAAGATTTTTATTCTATTATGCAATGAATAATTCTCTTCTGTCTAGAATGTCTAGAAACATTTACTTTGTTTTGGTGCCAATCTTGGGGCTCGAATTCAGGGCCTGAGTGCTGTCCCTGAGGTTTATTTATTTATTTATAATTTCCTTTTTTTTGGGGGGGGGGTCTAGTCGTGGGGCCTGAGCTCTGGGCCTGGGCGCTGTCCCTTAGCTCTTCAGCTCAAGGCTAGCGCTCTACCACTTGAGCCACAGTGCCACTTCTGGCTTTTTTTCTTTTTGCTTATGTGGTGCTAAGGAATCGAACCCAGGGCCTCAGGCATGCAAGACAAGCACTCTACCACTGAGCTACCTTCCCAGCCCTATAATTTCCTTTGAAGCTAGCATTCTACTTCTTCAGCCACAGCTCCACTTTTGGCTTTTTGATGATTAACTAGAGATAAGAGACTCACAGGCTTTGCTGAACAGGCTGTTTTTGAACTGGGATTCTCAGATCTCAGTCTCGTGAATAGCTAGGATTACAGGTATGAGCCACCAGTATACTGCTCAAAACAATTCTTTTTTGCCAGTCCTGGAGCTTGAACTCAGGGCATGGGCACTGTCCTTGAGCATCTTTTTTTGGGGGGGGGTTCCGGTCGTGGGGCCTGAACTCTAGGCCTGGGCACTGTCCCTCAGCTCTTCAGCTCAAGGCTAGTGCTCTACCACTTGAACCATAGCGCCACTTCTGGCTTTTTGTGGAGCTTATGTGGAGCTGAGGAATCGGACCCAGGGCCTCATGCATGCAAGGCAAGTGCTCTACCACTGAGCCACCTTCCCAGCCCCCTGAGCATCTTTTGCTCAAGGCTAGCACTCTACCACTTGAGCCACAGCACTATTTCTAGCTTTTCTTGTTTCTGTGGTACTAAGGAATTGAACCCAGGGCTTCATCCATGCTAGGCAAGCACTAAGCCCACATTTCCAGCCCTCAAGACAGTTCTTAAGGACAAAAATCAGTTTAGGGCTGTTGCAGCAGTGATTAAATGGTTGACAGGACCTACTTGGCTTCAGATTCCATTGCACCATGACCAAGTTTCCTGGCCAATTCAAATATCAGGAAGTCCATGAGATGATACGTTAATCGGATATTCTTTGGCAAGTAGCTAATAGAATGTTTATCCTATATAAGAGGTCAATAGATGTTTCATGTTTCTGTTGCTTGTGTACCTAAATCAAGTGTATTGTAGCAACAAAGTTCAGTCAAGTACTTAAGTCCTTTTGCTGTAATTTAAGAATACATTTGGGAAGCTAGGGTAAAAAAATCCCAAGGAGAATGAGTAGATTATCTTTTTTTTTATTGTGAAAATATTGTACAGAGGGGTTACAATTACATGTCAAGCATTGTAGCTTCCTCCTTTGTTTCCCCTTCCCATCCCTTCCCATCCTTCTCCCCGCCCCCCTGCCCAATCCTCCCTGCTCTCCCCCTCCCCCCCACCAAGGTTATAAAGTTTGCTTTCAACATAACGACTTGTGCATCTCATTGTTGCAATGGGTCCACCTGTATCCCTATTTAAACGATTTGTTTTTCCCCTTCCCCTCCACAAATTATACCGACATCAAATACAGTGAAATCAGGGGTTATACCGTGGGGGAGGGACATACAAAGCAACAAAGAAATAATCTTATAAATGCATTAGAAACAATCGCATGAAAGAAAAAAAACATTTGAATACATATCTTAGGGTTCATTTCCCTAACATCACCTTATCTGAGCTTTTCTGCTTGACTCAGACATATACTAGATAGTGCAAATAATGGAAACCATGGGACCTATGTTTCTTTGGGCCTGGCTTACTTCACTTAATATAGTTTTTTCCAAGTCTTTCCATTTCCTAACAAATGGGGCAATATCATTCTTTCTGATGGAGGCATAGAATTCCATTGTGTATATATACCACATTTTCTTGATCCATTCATCTACTGAGGGCATCTGGATTGGCTCCATATCTTAGCTATAGTAAATAGTGTTGCAATAAACATAGTTGTGCTGGTAGCTTTAGTGTGGTCTTGTTTGTAAACTTTTGGGTAAATGCCCAAAAGTGGGAGCTCTATGTGGAGTCTTTTGAGGAACCTCCATATTACTTTCCAAAGTGGTTGAACAAGTTCACACTCCCACCAACAATGCAGTAAGGTCTTCTGTCCACATCCCCTCCAGCATCTGTTGTTTTTAGAGTTCGTGATTATAGC